TTGATGATCCTCAGATTTTTCATCTCAACAACTATTGGATGGAAATTGTGATAACTTTGCTGATTTCCTTGACCACTGGCATTTTTTTAATCTATACACTATTTTTGTGACCAAACTAATCACATTCCCACCATTCATTAGTGCTAATCAGCGAATGTTAGCATGCTAACAAGTGAAACTATAGAATATACTCGAGGGATTGCCATGAAATGTGCAATAGACATTCATGGTTCCCTGGTTTTTCTGCTAGCAGCATTGACTGAAATATCTCAACAATAGATTATTAATTAAACTATCATTAAACTCTGTTTAGGCATTCATCATCCCCAGAGGATGAATCCTACTGACTTTGGTGATCCCCTGATTTTCCATCTAGTGCCACCAATAGGTTGACGTTTTAGGTTTAGACTGAAAGATCTCAATAACTATTGGATGGAAATTGTGATAACTTTGCTGGTTTCTTTGACCACTGGCATTTTTTAAAATCTAATACACTAATTTTGTGACCAAACTAATCACATTCTCACCAGTCGCACCTGTACCGTGTTTAGTGCTAATCACCTAATGTTAGCATGCTAACAAGTGAAACTATGGAGCAATTACTCGAAGGATTGTCATGAAATGTGCAATAGACATTCATGGTTCCCTGGCTTTTCTGCTAGCCACATTTATGACTAACGATGATTTTAAATGAAATGTTCCAACTGCTATTGGATGGATGACCATGAAACACATTTATGTCCCCCTCAGGATTCAATTGTAATAATGTTGGTGATCCCTAAACTTCTACAATACTTAATACAAATACAAAACTAATAGCTGTACTTTAAGTGCTAATTAGCTCATGTTAGCATTCTAACAACACTAAACTAAGATGGTGAACATGTTAAACATCAGCATGTTAGTCTTGTCATTGTAAGCATATTAGCATTTTGCTCAAAGCACTACTGTGTCACTGTACAAGCTCACAGTGCGGCTAGCATGGCTAGAAGGCTCTTAGTCTCATTAAACAGTTAATAATTAAATAACCAGGCATTTCAATATCCACTGTGATTTTTTTCCTGTTTCTTGGTGAAGTGGTTCTCTTCTCACGATAAAAGATGCTTGTCAAAAACACCGATTGATAGTTATTAAAAGTAACGTTTCTACATGTTCAGCTGCCGCAGGGAGCCAAAGCCCACAGGAAAGGAATACATTTAATTATTCCCCCCTCAGTTAAACGAGACAAAACCTTCCCACTGCAATCCACTTGCCTCTCTACATTGTGCTCCCTCTTTCTCCTTACCCTCCCGTCTGGCCTTTACTCTGTCTCATGCTCTGTCAACATCATCTGCCACTGTGGAGCAGACGGGCTCAAAAGCAGACCTTTTTTACTTTCCTGCAGGTGGCTGATGTGACTGAGGCAAGAGGCAGCAACAATCCCACTTCACTCACTTCCCTCCACCACCACCAGCACCAGCACCTTGTTTCCTGTACAGCACAAACTCCCTCTCTCTGCCAAGACTGCATTCCTGTGAACCAAAGTAGAACATTTTTTCATCTAAAAAGGTATCTTAGTGTAACCCTCCTATTTAACCTTTGTTAGCAGTGTATAAATAATTAATGAGTAGTTAAGAACACACTATACAATAACACAGTGTAATGGTGTCCTAAGTGTTGTTTGTGATCTTTCACTGTCATGAGGTTAAATATTTAAAAATGCACTTAAAGGACCAGTGTGTAAGATTTAGTGGCAGTAGTGGTCAAGTGTTTCCAATTGCACTGTTCAGGTATAAATAGGTATACATTACATTCATTTAGATGATGCTTTTAGAAAGTCTTTGGTTGGGAATGTAGCAGGCTGCTAATTATCCAAAGCGACTTCTAATAAATGTAAAAGGCCAAATCTGGGCTGTACAGAACCGGCAAACTTAAAGAAATCTAGTAAGTGGAACTGGCGAATCGGTGCCCGTTTCCTTTTGGCACCTACGTTAACCAACTGGGCTTTCACACAGGAAGTGAAGCAAAGCAATGTGGCATGGACCTCCGCCGCCAGCTCACAATCTGTGTCTGGTCTGTTTTCTCAGTAATTGAATCTGGCAAGGAACCACACTGATAGTCTGTCATAACCAATATATAAATGATGCAGTATATAAATGATTTGATTCTGATAAATGAAAAATATGGATACAACCCTTTTGATCTTCCTGCCCATGTCCCGGCTATCTCCTGGAGTTTCAATTCCCCAGTTTTTTTCCCACAAAGGCACCGCATGATGAACTTTCACAAGCTGCCCATCCACTATAATTATTTTAAATAATATCACTGCTGTCTGTTATGATAAAGGTCAGCCCTGCGTGTGATTACAAAAGAGCAGAGGAACACAGTCGCTTGTTGACCAGCGAGGAGAAAATCGCTTCTGGTGTGAACAGCCAGGTGTTTCCACCATCTCTCTGAACCCAGAGTTACAGCTACATTTATATTGCTATATACAATTTAATAAATCTAAATTGAGTGGTTACCTATTTTTTAACATTTTGTTTGTATAAAACTTGTCAAAAAAATTGTTAAATATTTACAGTAGGGTTTATAATGCTGGTAAAAAATGTGTAGTTGTGCAGTTGCTGATTTATATTTATGATTTTATTTCTGGAGAAAAGGAAAGCTAAAATATTTTGAGTTTATAAATATTGTTTTTTTTCACATCCACTTGCTAAGTGCATTCAGTCTTTCCAGTGGTAGCAAGTAACTAAGTACATGTACTCTACTTCAGTCCAATTTTGAGATACTTGTACTTTACTCAAATACTTTGCATTTTGTGCTCATACTTATGATTTTATTACATTTATTTCACATCTACAGTCATTACCTTTCGGATTAAGATTTTACAAGTGGGTTATGAGTGGTTTATAAAATATGATGCATTGTTATATATTTAACTACCTCAACGTAGATGAAGCAGGTAAATAGATCCCTTCAACCAAGTACTGCTGCATCAGTAATAACAACCCAATAAAATAACACTGACAGGCTCAATTCTGCACAATGATAACTTTTATCTTTAATTTTACTTGCATTTTTAGTCAAATTTTGAATGTTGAACTTTTTTATTTTTATAATGTAGTGCTGGAACTTACTTAAATAATAGATAAAAAAAATGTTCCCTACATAAAGTTAAACATAATGTGACAACACCCTGGTTGGTTTTAAAAAGGTTAATATACCCCAAATTAAATATCAGAGGTTTTTTTAGGCTAATATAAGCATCTTAAATCAGAATTCCTGCCAATTTAAAGAAAAAACTAATAATCAGCTCTTAGGGCTGCAGCCAGGCAAATTAAATGAGCAGTTTTTTAATTTCTGAGCTCCTTGCTGTGTGGGAACATTCAGCAATGGCTCAGCATGTCAAACCATGTCAAGTGTTACAGTTCCCTTCCTGTTTCGAGGGGAAAAAAATATCACCAGAGATGAATTAAACTAAAAAGGCTTGTCTTCAGACCCCTTCCTAAAATGATTAACCCTTCTAGAGAGCATTATTGAGCTCTGAGTGGTTGTGCTTTCTCATTGCCTGTAATTGTTCTTTTTCTGTTGTTGCCTTCATCAGTCTCTCTCCTCATTATATGAAAAGAAGGGAAAAATGTCTGAATAGAGGAGGGAGATTTTCCCACAGTCACTCAACTCAGAAAAATACGCCATTGTCGCCAGGTTCCCATCCCAATGCCCTGCTGCACAGTCTGCCGGAGTCTGAGGGACAATGTTCCTATAATTGAGTGACCATTCTTTCTCCTGTTTGAAAAGTAAGTGATGGAGAATACAGTTAAATGTGGCTACAAATCTCACTTTTGAGTCAGTCCAGTCTGCAGGTATGTCCGACCCTTTCTTATTTGACTGCAGATACATAACTCTGAGTCAAAACCTTGTGCAATACAATGTACTTTAGTTATTTAAGTTGTATTTTAGGCTTATTATGCAGCTAATGGTGCTACACATAATTATGCTCATTTGAGTGAGTACAGCCAGAAGATCATTTTCTTCTTTGAGCATCATTCATCTTGTAATTCATCAATTATTAGAAGGCTTTTCTGATCTATAGTATGAGCCATGTGTATTATTGTGTGGAATTTGTGCACCACTGAGCCTTAACTGAATGAGAACAAAGTGAAATTGTATTCTCCCTTAATAATGTCAAAATTACCTGTGACATCTACAGCTCTAAAGCAAGGCAAAGCCAATTTTATTTATAGAGCTCAATTCATACAAGGGGCAGTTTCAAAGTGCTTTACACACATTTAAAGGTTATAAAAGCGAATTTTAAAAGAGTGACAGAGGCAACCCAGATATAAAGATGAAAATAAAGACATAGAAACAAAGGGGAAATCTAACAAAAACAAAATAAAAGTGATGAACATGACTTCAGAAAGCAACAAAGAATAAGATTACCTTTTAGACATACCTTTAATCCTCTGGTGATGTGTTCCATGGTTACAAAACATATTTTAAAAATATTCTGATTTGTTATTAATTAAATTACCTAATAGTATATAAAGTTGTTAGAAATAACACCAGCTGTAACACTGTAATGCTGTTTACACATTAATACATTAGTAATAGTAATAATTCAATAATATAAAAGGCCTACATGTCATACTGTAACTCTTCTGCACAGGAGTGCTTTATGTTTAAAGCTCAATTTAGTTTTCAGGCACACAATAAAGCAGCCATCTAACGCAACATTTAAATAATTATAAAACATTTTATAGCAAATAAATCGAAATGAAGATACTGCAAATAAGCATATAACTCTTGTACCAGCCTGTGTTAAAAAGACAAAAGGAGAGAATGAAATAAAATATTAAGACCAGCACTAAATAAAGTGGAATTAAATGATCATTCAATGACATTATTTGCATAATATAAAAACTATAAACCTACAGATGTAAACACACTGTACTCTCTTTTGTGTGAACAGTGCCTGGTGTGTGTGAGTGCGCACACGCTGCCTCATTCCGACCAATCAGCGCGCAGGGATTCGTGCAGGCGGTGAACTGCAATGGCGGAGACGATGAAGCTGAGTGGAAATCACGCTCCTCCTAATGGCTCCAGTGAACTGTCCAGCTACAGGGACTGCGTGTGTGTGATACTGAAGCTGCTAGCAGACTTCGGGAAAGAGGTTGGTTGACGTCGTTTGCGCCGCGTAGCGCCGAGCCGCGTTGCTTTGAGCCCGTGTTGTTATCGAGCTACATGCTAATGTTTTTAGCATTCAGCCTGGCTGCTTAGATGCATCTCACTCTTTTTTTTTTTTTTTTTAAAGTCTTTGTTACTCAACAGTCAGGCGGTGTGTTTGACAAGCGAGTTGCAACAAAGCAACTTGGGTTTGTGTTATTTAATGTCAGCCAGCTCACAGCTATGTACAAGTTTCAGACATGGCTCAGCTAGCCACTCGTCAATTTAAATTCAACAAAAGCTCTTAATCTCATTTCAGCTTTTTTCTAGCTCTTCCCTGCAACCTGTAGTTAACCTATGAACTGTATAATTCCTATTACCGTTTTGTTGCATTGTTGCGTACATATCTGATCTCTATACAGTATATAATTCCTGCCCGTTGTCTTGTAAAGGAAGAATAAGTACACAGTGAATAAAAAACCTAATTTGTATGTGCTCACTGCATTTCTACAGTGTTAAAGTGCACACATGTATTTGCAAAGAGCTATATCTTTAGCATTAGTACATCATCATAGTGGTTTTGCAGCACTATTCCAACTATTTTATTTTCCTAATAAAATATTTTGCTTGTAAAATGTCAGGAAATAGTGAACAAAATGTCCATCACAAGTTTACAGATCTCAAGATGATGTTTTCAAATTGCCTATGTTCAGTTTACAATGATCTAAAAAGAAGAAGAAGAAAAATACTGCAGAAGCTGGTACCAGCAAATGATTGTGATTTAGTTTTTTCTTGAAAAGTCACTGAACCCTAATAGATTATCAGAAAAGTTGCTGGTTTATTTTATTACAAGTCATCGACTAATAAAATAAGTAGCTTACAATTACTTGACTAATCCTAAAACCATGCTGTTGTATGTTAAACACTGAATCTGTTTTACACTCACATCCAAGTCCGTGTAACCTCAACCTGTGTTTGTGTTTTTTTTTTTAAATTCAGCTCAAATTAAGTGATGCTGCACTGAAAATAGAAGTCAACTTGGATGCTGTGGATCTTCCGTCGTCTCCAGATGCTCACGCGTTTAAATGTTTGCAGGAGCACATCACTAAATTACAGGTAAAGTGGCTACACACACTACAACTTCTACATTTTAACACTGGTTAAATTGCATTATTTTAGCATCTTGAGGCTAAAAGGGTTTGAATTCACCAATTATTCCTTTAAACAAAAGATTAGTTGTTCTTATATGCAATATTCTTTGTTTCCCATCTATTTATACAGGCTGTTTCAGAAAGCTTAAGTACCCTGGTGGATGCTGATGATGATACGTCATCGGCACAAAACAACACATCAGATGATGCTGTCACCTCATCGCCACTCCAAGAGCAGACGTCTGAGCGCCACCCTCTCAGCTCCGAGGATGCAGAAAGCAAGACGGCGGCTGATGACGTCATGGTTCAGATCAGAGCCAGGAAGTCAGAGGTTGGTCTCACTCAGCAGATCTGTCAGCTGTTTTCTGGCAGTGACATTTTTAGAGCGCTCTTTACTCTCTGTCAAGCAAATGAATAATCATAAGTAATTGCTCCCAAGGATGTGCACATGACGTGCCGCAGTGAAGCAAATGCTTGATGATGATCTGATAAGCCGAGTTCAGCAGAGAAGAAGGGGTTCTTTAGTGCTGTGGTCGGGTAGAACAGACCACATTGCTGGAGGGCTTTGAGAGAGGGCCAGGTCCTTGATGGATTATGAAGTGGATGCTCATTACTCTGAGATTGCATGTGGATGAAGGACAAGAGGCCCCATTCTGTTGTGCATTTATTTTGGTAGCCAAGCAAACAGTATTCATATTCCATCATGTGATGATGGCAAGCAGTTCAACTTTTTTGGCTACCTGAAATAATTTGCTACAGAATTTCTCATTCCATGTAATGTAAATTGCTGCACCCTGTTAGCCCCCGATCATTAGACTTGCGTAGGTTAAAAAAAAAAGTCTCATTGCATTTTTGACATCTATCAATAGCTCATCAATCCATCGTATCTTATTATCTGTGTTGTCTCTCCACTGTGACCCCAGATTGAGCGAAGAATATCTGCATTTATGGAACGCAAGCAGATGGAGATCAATGAAAACAATGTACGCGAGTTTTGCAACGTGATCGACTGCAATCAGGGTGAGAATGGGAAAGAGGTTGGGGGCAGGGTGGAGAGGGAGCCTGCACACAGATTGCCAATGTTTGGGAGAGAGCTGATTTCCACAGGCGAGAGGTCAGGCTGAACTGCTCCAAGAGTGGAGCTGAAGTAGCTAACACACTCGGCCTCAAAACACAACCAGCTTAGTCCAGAAAAACATGAGACAGAGGGCCTTTTTTTAATTCAAAGCCTGTGTGAGACACCAGTTATAGAAATCAGGACATGCTCATACTTGTAATTATAGTGATATATATATTTAAAGAAATACTAATCACTTTTACGTTACATTTTAATTTAATTTTTAATAAGAATTTCTCTTCTGTAGAAAACAGCTGTGCCAGAACAGATGCAGTTTTCACTCCATATCCAGGTTTTAAAAGCCACGTGAAAGGTAAGAAAATAAATATTTGCCACAAATGTCAATGTGACATTTCTTAACTGCGTTATTTTATGAACTGTAGCCATGATTTTTGATCATCATCATTTTGAAAAAGTCATAGGCTTGACATAACAAGAAATGTTAATCAATACGTTTTGGTTTGATTAATACAATTAGATTCAAATGTCATTCTACGGTACATGTATCACGACAAAAAAACGTTTTTCACATCAGCTTGCTGCCAAAAGTCTTTAAAATAAGTGCTGTACAAATTAGGGCACCAACAGATCTTTCATTATAAATTAATTTAAATTGCCTAACAAATGTCAAGAGTCTTGTAGGACCCCTCTGACTTTTAGACATGTACAAAGTATCTGCATGCCTGGTACATGCCTGAGACTCTGTGAAACCATACTGTGAACTAACCTCTGCTTAATACTGGGTTACGGCCTATGTTTATGTGTTATGTTGCCTGGCTAGTTACGCGGGTGGTAAACAATTACGGGCCCCAGACTCGTGGTGGGGGAGGTCAAGGAGAGGCTGGGGAGCTGCAGAGGGGGCTGATGGGAAGAGACTGCGGAAATGCAGCCATAGAAGAACGACTTCACAACATCGAGACACACCTGAAACTCCCAACAGGTTAGTGAACGACAAAACAGCAAAGGTTTACTGATAATATTTTACATAATAATAATGTTTTATGTCATTAAGTCTGCTCAAAAATCTAACGTAAATGCTGTTCTTTAACAGGTGTTAGTTTTCAAGTACACTGAATAGAATAGATAGAATTTTCCATTACAATGTGTAGTAAATGTAACTCATTGAAATTGCAGTCAATGTGCAAACTATAATTAATCTAAGATAGATTTAAAAAAATCGAGGTCAGTGTTTAGAAATCAGTCAACTGATTAGCTTTTACCTGATATAAACAGTGTGACATTATGCTGCTTCTCTTCTCTAACACTTTTACATGTGCCTTACTCACAATCTCCCAATCACCCAATAAAATCACACTGTTCAACGAGTGTTTTATTCCTTAGCTGGTCCAGTTCCATTGAGTGTCTACCAGAGACTAAAGAAGCTGGAGGATCGTATCCTGGAGTTGGAGGGACTCTCACCCGAGTACTTTCAGTCCACGGTGAGTCTTGTGGCTTTGAAATAGATACATGGAAGGTACTTAATAATTAGTCTGCGTTCAGTCTGCTGTCATAACCAGTCTTACAGTAATGGATGTAATTTCAACATTTGTATTTTTCTAATAAAAGCCATAGGTATATACTTCCTTTGCCACAGACTCTTATGATTTTGGCAGCCCAGACTTATGACACTTTTAAAATGATGGCAAACTTGTTCAATGAAAGTGTTCCTGTTGGTGTGTGTGTGTTACAAAGAGTGAGACTCTACACCGTTCAAAAATCTTTAGTTGGAGTTGGTCATATAAAACCACGTCATAGTGCAGTGACTAAATAGGTAATCATTGATTCTTGCCTTATGGCATTTTAGAGGTATATTTTCCCACTCAATTACACAGTTATAGTGATTTAATGTGAATTATTGTCTTTAATATAGCGTGTATTGCAGAACTGACTCTACAGTTCTGTCGTACAGCCATTATGAGCAGAAACATATAATCCTATCATAGTGGCAATTACTGTATGATTCCCACCTCTTCTTCTTCTCATTATTATTATTATTATCAGTTTTAGCCAGTTCTCCAGTGTGAACTTTAAAGGTGCCCTTAGGAGATTTCTTGTAAACTAACAAAAGTAATGTTTACTTCTGTGTTACTCACCAAAATGCATTTTATATATCTTATTTCCTTTCATATAACCTGCATTTCCTTCCTCATAAAACACCTTTAAAGCCAATTATTTTGAAAGTAGTGAAATCTGCATTGTTTGCATTCATGTTTACTTGCTTGCGTCTCTCTTCTTCCCTTCCTTTGCAAACAAAACATGGACCCACTCCTAAAAATATTGCTCCACAGCGCTACTAATGGTTAAAAAAAAACTCCACAGGGGTACCTTTTAGTTCCTGCTCTTGGCAACTTCTCTCTTGTCTTGTGGATGTGTGGACAACCATGTGCCACCCACACATTTGACCTGACAGGGTGGAGTTTAACCAAAGGAAACTCCTCCTGAAAGGCCATAGACCAAGGTGAATAACCATGAGACATAAAGTAATGGTATAAGATTGTATTTCAAGAAGTATTTCAGACAATGATTCACATCCTGTTGTTGAGAAAGTGAGAAGTCCATTTCACACGCTTTCCGTCAGTCAGTGCATTTAATGTGTATGATGCCTAAATTGGCATGTAGAATATTGGTTTGCTGTAGGCAAAATCATTTCAAAATGAAATCGACTCACTGAGAGGAGTTTGTGCGTGATGCTAATGGAGTTTCCCCTGATATGCCCGGATACTTCAACACTTCCCCTCCTCGAGCTACACTTAGGTTGATTTCAGTCAAAAATGGAAACGCGTTTGTTTAGATTTACTTAAACTTTTAGGTCACTACAGAAACCTCACTTGAGAAATGACTACTTTTCACTACACCGTGCTTTATAAAGAAGTGCAGACTCAAAAGATGGCAGGAAGTAATTTATTGGACTTCATATTCAACCCAAGTCCCGCAGATTCTAATTTCCTATCTTGAAGGAGTCTGTCCAGCGAATGTTTAGTTGTCTGAGTAAGTGTGCTTAAGATGCTGCATGTCTCTTCACACTGGTATTTCTCAGCACCGCATGCTGCTTCTGTGAGTATACTGCTCTCCATCTGCTTTTGACTCATTGCATGTTTGTGTGAGCAGAGCAAGAGATGTCGAGTGTCTTTGAATAAACTGATGGGGTCTTTTATATTCAGAGTACCACTTTTTTTTTTTTTCTTGCAATTTCTGAAAATACTGTAGTTTGGTGTTTTCTGAAGAGCTGTACACAGTTGGCCCACGGTTTCAGAAACAACATTTTAACATTGAACAGCAAAGGAGGCTCCTTAACGAATTATGCAGCATCTTCGACATAAACAATCCCACAAGGTTTTACAGTTACAGAGTCAAAGACTTGGAGCAAAAACACAAATCTCTGAGCTGTCTTACACATATGCCATGTAACTGTGACGTCCCCCTTTTAAATTTTACTGAGGACATTCGTTTACTGTCTCTAACTATTGTCAAAACATCCAATTAAGGTGAAATACCATTAAAAATAACCTTAGAATTATCACAGACTGTTTTTCTCTCATAATCTTCAGCAATTATCTGCTGTTCTTTGCTTGTAAAACTTCACCTCTTTGTATTTCATTAAGTGGATATTAGAAAACAAAAAAAATGTGGTTTTGCAAAATGTCTTTCTGTTGTACTGTCTGTGAGTAAATCATTTTTTCAGTTCTTGAGGTGAAGTAAGAAATAAAACAAAGTACCTCAGTATGCTTTTCCAAGATCGAACCAGTTTAGAAGTTGTACTTATTAAAAAGGTCTGATGTTTACTCTTTTTGTAGAGTCACCTACACAAGCGACCAAAGACGTCCCCTGCTCAGGTTAGCAGTTTTTTTTTTTTTGTTTCCTTTCACTGCACTTTGTTGGTGGAGTTTAGCCTGTTTTTGATCAGTTGATCAGTTTTTTTCTGACTTCGTCCTCCAGGCTTGCAGTCTGACAGAGCTGGATGAGAAGATCAGTGCAGTGAAAGCAGCACTGCTGAAGAGGGTTAATGAATTCGGGCCTGGATATGGACCAGAGTGCCCACTGTAGCACACCCACAATCCAATGCTCCAAACACACAGTCCATTCAACATGAATCATTCGTTCATTTTTGTATTCCTTACTTTTTCATTCGCACCATTGTCACAATACTGTAAGAATAAAAACAAACATTTCATGTGAGCTTAAGTTTATAGCTATTAAAAACTGTATTCCTCTAAATAGTTTTGTAGTTAACTGAGATATAATTGATCTGTAAATAAAGGTATTTTTTCCTTCAAGAAAAGTTGGACTCATGAGCTTAACATGTCAGCTATTAACTGTAATGTGCAACCTGATTCCAATCAGCCGTTCCTGCAGACTGCTAATGATTATTTTCAATTAATATAAAAATGTTTCTCACTCGATTAATCTTTGGTCCACAAAATTGTTACAGTTGAAAATCTGTAATCAGCTAATTCAACTTAGACGAATAAATGATCAATTGTTGCTGATTAATTTTCTGACAATCGATGAATTGTTTCAGCTCTAATACATAAAACACCGTCAAACAGAATATGATATAAAATGGATTTATCATGGATGTTTACTATCCTTAATGTCTAATGCTGGGAAGGTGTGTATGTGTGTGTGTGTGTGTTCATGTCTGTGTGTGTAATTGAGATGAATCTGAGAGCGCACCTGATTTATCTGCCTGACTGCTGTGTGACGATGATCACCCCTAATGGTTGTCATTATAACAAATGACCTGATTACTGCAACTCTGTTTGGAAAACATATTGGAGACCCAACAAACCAGCATTAAATGGGCTGCCGCTGTGTTTGACACTGTGACTTGTTTATAAAAGGCTTTCGCATAGAGCTTTAACTGAGCAAGCGGCTGAAGCAATACTTCAGATTATTTTTTTTCTGTTATGAGAAAACCTCTGGGTCCCTTCATCCATACATAGATAACTGAGTTATCTGTGTATGAGTTGAGAGGTGTCTGGATTTTGATTTAAAATTAATCTTTTAACTGTATGAGCAGAGCAACAAATCCTGTAGTCCACACCTGCATACGTGCAGCTTATTGACCATGACCATGATGTTTTATGGTGAATCCTAAACATGAACTCATTTCCAATGCAAGGTTCTCACTGTCTTTGATTTATAATTAAAGAATGTTGATATAAATATGATTTTAGATGAGAACGTGCAGGTTTTTGATAAATCTTTATGATCTGTTGGTGTAATTATCCCAACTAAATTGTCATAATGATGTAGTTTGAGCAATAAATCAACTTAAATAATCCCATCAGACACACTGTGTTTTATTTGACAATTGTATAAAATACAGTGTGTAACATTTAGGAGAATCTACTGGCAAGAGTTAAATATAATATTCAAAGATATGTTTTTATTAGTGTATAATCACCTGAATATAATAACTGGTTTACGTTACCTTATAATGAGCCGTTTTATCTACAGAGGGAGCGGTCGACTTCCACGGAGGCTGCCATGTTGAACCGCCATGTTTCTACAGTAGCCCAGAGACAAATCAGAACAGCTTCATTTAGCTTATGATTATTACATAAAAGTCTCTTGCAGGTCCTTTGAGAACCTCCACCTGTCATGCACCCAATACACTCGCAGTCTGACCACATTCATGCTAATATCTAATGTTAACAGTGTTGAAAAGGGTGGAAACATTGTTGAGCACAAGGGTTTCCAACACTTCAATCACATGATCGGCACTTACCCAATCACATGAATGCTCATCATTGTTTCAAATCTCTAGTCATTTATTTTATTTTTTATTTCAAAATAACACTCTTATTCAAGTTGACTTCATCCAGGATTAAAAGATGAATCTTTAAATTGCATCCAAGGAACTGAATAAGAATAAAAAGGATTATTTTAGCCTGATAATAGTTTGTTAGCCTTGAGCTAGTCTCATTCAAAAAGATAACACATAAAACACAAATGTGTAAAGAGCATTTTTACTGCTGGTTAAGATGGAGCTGGTTTTAACTTAATATACAGTTTGGTTATTTAGTCCAGTGGTTGCCAACCTGGGGATCCCCTACAAAGGGTCACAATATAAATCTATAGGGTGTCGTGAGATGATGAACGAGGTAGGAAAGAGGAAGAAGTTCCACTGCACAATCTGCTCCAATCTTTGCCCTTTATGGTGAACTGTTGTGTAATTTTACCTGTGACAAGAAGCTCCATGTAGACGCTGCTTTTTAGTCACAGACCAAAAACGTTAGAAACCACTGGTTTAATTTTAATAATTATTTTTATTTCATCAGCTTATATATTGTTTCTCATGTAAGATCGTACCCACAGAACTTAAAATGGATCACGACTGTTTTAAACTCAAGTTGATGTACATTTTAAAGAGGGAATAGTGTTGTAGTCGTGAATGATCTCGTGCTTAATTTTATGATAATTTTATTTGATCATTGTTTGTAATTGTGCTGTTCTGTGTGTTTTATTATTATTAGTATTATGATTATATTATTGTGTTGTGTATTTTAAAGGCCCTTCAGTGAGTGGGATAGAAAATTAGCTTGGGATATTTATACAAATAAACACAAAATAAATAATAAAAACAAATATTAATTAAAGTAACTACTAACTATAGCTGTCAAATAAATTTAATGGAGTAAAAAGTACAATATTTACCTATACATCCTGAAATGTATCGGTGTTTGTGTGTGAACCTATATATTTATTTATTTATGTATATATGTATATATTAATGTATATATGTACATATGTCCTTACCAAGGCTGTCTGTTTAAAAGAGAGGAAACTAACTTCCTCGCTAACATGTCCACCTTTTTTAAAAACATGAAACTCATATAGACTTAAATTGCAAATAGAAGAGGTGCTTTGAAATAGGTACCTTGACCAGTTCATGGTTGACTGAAAGCACAGATGCAGACTCATTTATTTAGAGCCATTGGAAGTTTTGAGGTGCTTTAAAATATAACTCTTCTTGTGCTTCTTTTCATCAACAAAAAGGCTACAATAAACAGAATTTTAAAATTAATTTCGTAACAGGTGTGACAAATAGAAACAGAGAAAAAAACAACTTTCTCACGTCTTTGGAAATTACTGTAACTCCCCTTCCTTTTCTTTGCAGTTGCTCTTTGTATGTCATGTCAAGATTTATTTCAGAGTTGATTGATGGAGTGACCTGAATACAATAGAAGACGTTGCATTGTGTTTTTTTGGAAGATATTTCATTCTTAACGCGGAAATGGGGATTTTCTTTTTCACCCCCTTTTTCAGGTGTACCTCGCTTGTTCAGCTCTGTCCGTCTCTTGCTCATAGACTGGAACCTTCTGGGCAACAAGGGGCCACAATGTGCTGGGAAGGGGAGCACTTGAGCTGCTGCGATGTGGATGGACGTGGAGGGGAGGGGTGGGGGTTGCTCATTGTTCCCCAGGAGCTTTTGTCTCAGACACAGTCCCCTTATGAGGGTTAATGAGGACAAATTGGTCTGAGTGTAACAAATGGATTATAGAGTTGGACAAAAGGTTGTATTTTGTGGGCTGCGTTTGCTGGGATCCACCCATCATCTGCCCATTGAGCCAAGCACGCTGACTAGCGTCTGCATGAAGTGGCTCACTAAATATCTCATTATCTTTATCCTGTCTGTTTTATCACATGAGCACATTATGCATCCGGCTTCCTACAGTGAATTTAACTAAAATGTAAAGTTTATTTCACAATAACGCAATTTGTAATCACCGTAATCACCTGGCTTATTTCCTACAGCTTATGTAAAGAATATAAAGTCAATATGTCAACATTAGTGTCATTGGTTGGAGCTCTAAGGTTGGGTGGGCATAGTGTACCCTTTCAAATTAACAAAGAGCCACTTCCTCATTGACTCTATGTAATTCCTGGCTGTCAATCAGTCCTCCCTCTGTCTGATTTCTTGTTATGTTCTTGGGAACCTCGGTAAAAAGACACAGAGGTGTTCCTTGTCTTCTATGGGTCCAGTTGTATTTTTTGGTGGGGTCGAAGGAGAGGATTCATATCCATTCATATCTCACAAACTCTTAATGGGCTCCAAGCCCTCCAAAAAGAAAGCTCTTTCCTGTGACTAGTCAGCTCCAGTCTTTATTCATCTGTGGCTCCGTGTCAAAAAAGACTGTTGCTCGTTTGTGCCCCGAACAATGAGGAACAAGGCTAAATCTCTAGCTGGGAACAAAAGACAGAAAACAGGCTTTTCACTCTGCAGAACATTAGATTCTGACACATTTTGCCATGGCAGTTTTTTCCTCATCCTGAGTGCTGTGGCTCTGGTCTTTTAAAGAGACCACCTGTTGGCAACAAGCCTGTTCTTCATTACAGACAGCCCTATTATCACAGGATGAGGAGCGCCACAGGCTAACTTTTTTAAGTTAACCCTGCTGCAGTTTCCAAAGCTGGCCGATTGGGAAACATAAATTACGTATTACCACTGGAAAATCTATTTCTGCTCGTAATTTTGTATCTTGTTTTTGAATAAGGGCTTTTGTCGGCGTAAGAGGGAAGTACTTCATTCATGCCCTTGTCAGCTACAAATGTCACAAACAAAGGGACTCGAATGTAGGGAGCTTAAATGTTCTATAACTACAGATTCGGGGCCAAAATCATATGCATTGTTTGGAGGAAACCCAAATGGACTTACTGTAAAGTTGTTGATGTTTTTTATTCCATTATTTCTGGCATCTGGACGGTTTGTGTTCTTCTTTTGAAAACAGATTTGAGCAATTTTCAATCCCCAAAACATTAGCATAACTACAGCATGATAATGATTTTCACAACTGTGTGTAAAATAAAAGTACTGTAGGTGGCAATACGAAGCAATCAAGTGCATACTTTGGCTTTGAATTGGACATGATAAACACAGGCTGACGGGAGTGTTTGCTTTATTTTTTTAGTGCGATTGTGTGGAGATTTAAAACGTAATGTTAAATAATTTATAGATTTCATTGCTCTGAAAACCCACAGACCGAATTTTAAAAAGATTTTTCATGAATAACCTTTGTTTGGGATTTGGTTGTTATAAGCACAAAACTTGCATGTACTGTAGAGCTTTTTGGAACAAGTGGCCTCCGGACAGCTAGAGGGGAAAGTTTAATTCCCCATAAGGCAACATTAAAACAGCAAACACCTTTGTCATGCTCATACCATCACTGTCGGAGTACGCCTGACGCAGTCGCACTTGTTTCATGTTCACAAACATCCAGAGGAGAGGGGGGGTAGGGGTGCATGCACCTGTGACCCTCCCCCATAAAGCAGACAGCACAAGAGAGGATCCCCCTGCAGCCTACAGGCTTCAACAAGAGGCAGTCAGCTGCTCTCTGTGGCCCTGCTGCACGGTCCCCAGGCTCTCTGGAGTTAAATGTGCCTGTGATATTGCCAGGAGGGAGCAGCGGGAGTTGAATTCAGGCAATTACAATCAAGTCAGGGCATAGTTAGTGCGTGGGCCCTGGCAGCACCTGAGCTGGATGCTGATGAGACACTTAGCCCCAAACCCTCATGCATTGGCCCAGGCATTGCGTAGAGCAAGCCCTCCTTCCCCCTCCCCCCTCTTCCCCCTCTCCCTCTCTCTTCCCACAGCAGCAGACCCCCTACTGGACACTTCCACTTCCCTTCACCTCATTTAGGCCTCTAGAGCTCTCTCACCCTCTCTCTCTCCGGCCCTCACATCGCAATACTTCTACTTTATATAGGTGGCGTGGAGTACTGCACTCAATCACTCTTCATTCATTCACACTGTACAATAATAGACAACTACTCCGATATTGTCCTTCAAGCACCTGTGCATAGCAGAGCTTCAAACATCATGTGATGTGTCATTCCAGGTTGTTGAGAAATATGTGAAGAGTTATTTCTCTTGAAGGTACCATGAAAAAAAAAGAAGCTACAGGTAAGTGTAGATAAGTCACTTTTGATCATTTCTCTTACACCTTAACGTGCAGAAGAAAGCACCTTTAGAAGAGCCTTCCTGTCTGTCCCCATCTTTATTACACATCAGACCATTAAGCTCAAGCCCCATCACACCGCTGTCTCTGCACGGATATTCATTTGCAGGTGGCTGACTATAGGTCTCCGTGTCCCGGCCGATGTGTTATAGCGACAGGAAGAGAGGATGGAAAGGGAGGTGCGGTTCTTGAATATCTATGACCCAAGAATATGGAGTCAGGCATCACAACAACACTCTTAGCCCCTTTTCCCAATAAGATGCTCTCAGCTCTTTCAGAGGGAAAGCCTCCCGGCTCCCGCCCTCTCTCAGCCACCA